ACACACACACTCCACCACCACGAGTCTGCACTTGGGAGGGGGAGAAGTCTGTGTAAGTGACAATGCTGCAGCAGGTGTTTAGGTGGCTGGGCCCCTCAGGAAGCTAGCTGCCTACACTCCTGACCCCACACGGCAGAGCTGGATTGCTCCCCACACTAGGACACCCCACCTTGTGAGACCTGCCTGGACTGTGGGACCCTGTTGGGTGGGAAGTCTCCCCAGAGCATGAAGGGGGTGCAGAGAAGGTGCATTGCTTCCAGCAGCCACCGTGGGGAGGGATGGGGACCAGGACCTGATACAGGGCAAGGGGTCCCAGGCAGCCTGCAGCTAGTTAGTCTCCTAAAGCCTGAGATAATGAGGAGTTGGGATTGTTGGACACCAAGTCCTTTGAAGGATTTCATTATCGAATTTGTTGTAGTTTGAAAAGTATTTTCTGCTTTCTTTTCAACGGAGGTGTTTATGGTCTGTTTTGCTTTGTTATTGTTGTTCGTTTTCTGCTGTGTTCTTTTCTGTAGATGAAATCCTGGTTAGGGGAGCTATAGACAGTAACCGGACTAGTGGTTCCTGGGGGGACAGCAGGGGAGGTTGGAGGAAATGGGGAGCCACTAATGATGAGTACAAGAAAGAAGAAAATATTCTAAAATGGATTGTGGTGGTGATTGTACTGCAACTCTTCTTTAAAAAAATTTTTTTTTTGATAGCAACAAATATTTATTGAGTGCATAAGCACCTTCTTAATGCCTGGCTTGTTATGATTTAATCTTTATGATAACCCTTACTATGTTATTTTTATTGCAGATTACCAAGCAGATGTCAAGTTTAAACAGGCAGTTAATGGTGGAGCCAAGATCTCATGATCTCACGCCAGGTAACTGACTGCAGAACTCCGAGCCCCTGTGCCGCCTCTCATTGAAGGCATGCCCGGAAGACAGGGGCAGAGTGTAGGTCATCAGATTGAGACAGCGAGGAAGCTTTGGGATCCTTGAATTCCATCATGAAACAGAAACTGAAGCCCGGGATTGGGTTCACAGAACTGCAGAAGCGTGTTGCAGGACTCCTGAATGGCGGCTGGAAATGCTTAACCACAGGACTCACCACAGCCCTTCTTGACATGACTGGGCTTCTGAATTGTATGACATGTGAATCACATGTCATACATGTGTTCCTCTCCTATCCACTTCTGGAGGGAGACTTGCCTGTCTCAAGGCCAAGCTATTAGTCATGTGTTCATGAAACACGGATTCAGTGACCATGATATGGTGGTACTGAATTTGACACTGGGGACCCAATGGTGGAAAGATGCTGCCCCTCCCCCCCTTGATGTGGCCTTCCAGCAGTGCAGAGGACAAACATGTCAACAGCTGGTTTCCCGTGAAGGCATTCGGTGTGCCTGGGGGATGGGAGTGAGCGGTGGGGCAGAGGGGTGGCGGTGAGAGAAAGCACAGTGAGTGTCCAAATAGAGGAGACCGTGTGTAACGACAGTCTGGTGTGTGCGTGTGAAGGCCAGGGGAGCAGAAAAAGGAAGCAGAAGGCATGGCTGAACCGCGGCTGGAAAACACTTGTCTGCATGTGTGGATGCCCAGAACTCACCCACTGTGGGCGGGCCGCGATCGCTACAGCCGCCAGACTGGCGGGGAGCTGTCCAGTTAACAACATCTGCAGACCCCGAGGGCCAGCCGTTTTCTGCCTAGGGACATACCCAACAGAAAAGCAGGTTCACGGCCATGGTTCAGTCATCTAGTGCCGCTACAAGACCACCGCTACTGCTCTTGGGCTAGCATATCCGAGTGGGAAGTGGTTGTGTCTTGACGTCCCTCCCTCTTGGAGACCTTCCATCCAGGTCTGTGCCCTTCTGAAGGGGGTGCGCCGGCTCTCTGACCCTCCCCCCAAGGACTCTGCACTCTGGTGTGCACGTGTCTAGACGGCAGCGTGGTCATTCTTGGCGGCCGCACAGGTCTTCCTCAGAGTTCTTTCTGAGTGTTGTGAATGGCGACAATCAGAGGGGGCTGCGGCGGGTGGGATGAGGTGTTCTCGGAAACTCCCACGCCAGCCTTCGGAACAGGAGCAGGAGCATGGCCATGATGGGAAAACAATTCCCGAGAGCAACCCTCCTGACCTGTTCCTCACCAAGGCCGGTTTCAAGTTTTCCCAAAACTTCCTTGTTATGAGCACCCCCGAGCATCCTCTGTCCTTTGAGAGAATCTACCACAATGCAGTTTTCCGTCATCTTCTGGGCTGAGCTCTCGGCCTGGGCTGTAACCGGCCCCGCACAGCCCCTGGGAAGCACTGTTTGGATCTTTCTTTGAAGGCACCTAATGGGGCTAAGCCACGTGTATTGATGAGAGAACTTGTCTGCAGTCACCCAGTGATCACAGAGACCTGTTTAAATAGATTTTGTTTGAAACAACCCTGTGTAGGGATAAGGTGCACTGAGTGTAGCAGTTCTGCATTGGGCTACGACCCACATGCTCGGCAGTTCGAAACCACCAGCAGCTGTGCAGGAGACAGCCAGGGCTTTCTACTCCCGTGAACAGTGACAGTCTCAGAAACCCACAGGGGTCGTTGTGAGTCAGCCTGGACTTGATGGCAGTGACTCTATAGTTTATGTATAAGGCAGTGTCACAAAGTGTGGAAAAGCTGAATGAGGAGGTAATACCTTTTTCCTCCATGTCCTTTCAAGAAGAAAGATCCCTGGTATGAACTGGAACCTGGTAGCAATACTTCTCGACTCCCCTTGCATTTATAAGCATCCTCAAATGCTTATCAAAAAACTCCCACTGCCGTCAAGTCGAAGCCGACTCACAGCAGCCCTAGAGGCCAGGGTGGAACTGCCCTGTGGTTTATGAGACTGTCACTCTTTGCGGGAGCAGAAAGCCGTGTCTTTCTCCTGTGGAGAGGCTGGTGGTTTCAAACTGCTGACCTCGTGGTCAGAAGCCCAATGTATAACCACTCCCACCAGGGTCCCCCATGGGTATTCTAAAGACCACATCAAATTGCCGTATGTGCACACACGATGGGAAACTCACGAGTCATGAGAGCGCATGACCTACAAGGACACACAGCAGCGGGGACGGCACTCATCCCAGCAAGCTGAATGAAAGAGGCCAGTGGGATGGCGAGAGTCCACTTCCATCAAGGACAAAAGGAAGGCCCGTTGAGCTCCACTACTGGAGTCAGGATGGGGGTTACTGTTGCCGGAGAGGGACACCAGGGAACCTCTGCGTGGGCTGTTGTCGTGCTCTGTCCCCTGTTCTGGGTGCTGGGTGCTTGGGTGTGGAGTGAAATGTCAGGGGGCTGCTCACATCTCTGTGGCCATGCACTGAAAGGGCCCCGGCGCTTCCCTCCGTCTCCCCGACTAGAGAGTAGAGGCAGCTCAACCTGGGAGAGAGCTTCCCCGGGGAGAAGCTGGAGAGACTGGGGTGGAGCAAGCCTTGGAGAATTGTGTGGTTGAATGGCTGGAGGTGACAGAAGAGGCTTAACTCACAAACCCACTGCCGGGACTCGATGCTGACTCACAGAGACCCCAGAGGGCAGTGGAGAACTGCCCCTGTGGGTTTCTGAGCCTGTAACTCTTTACGGGAGTAAAAAGCCCGATCTTTCTCTGGCAGAGCGGCTGGTGGTTCCGAACTGCCGACCTTGCAGTTATCAGTTCAACTCATAACCATTATGCCACCAGGGCTCCTTTTCAAAAAGGCACAGGAGGATGCATATTATGATGATATGGGCTTCCACCACACCCCTGCACCCATCCCCTCCCTCTTACCTTTCCATGGTCCCTGAGCACTCAGTGGAACACGTGGGGACCCAGCTCCCAAGGTTCGGGCAGACACCACGCTCAGGGTCTCTACTCTGTTGGGCCCAGTCACCTGTCTTTCCTCCTCCCCCAGCAGCACCTGCAGGTCCAGAGCCATAGTGCCGAGGCTCACTTCACACCCAGAAACCAGGGCGCAGGCCGTCCTCAGTCCAAAGCCCCGGAGTTGCTAGGAGCTTCGATGGACAGTCCGAGCGGGAGAGCAGAGGCCCCGGTCCCCCTTCCACCCTACCTACCTGGTCAGGAGCCATTTGCCTCTCATGACAATCTGGCAGCCTCGGGAACAGAGGACTGACTCAGCTGGACACGGGGTTAGGGTTTGGTTTCTCTCGGGTGGCCAGTGCCCATTGTTACAGGTAGATCCAGGTAGAGACAAAGACACAACCAGCTGAGGTCTAGCCAGGAACCCGCTGACCTGCCGGCACCTTGCTCTCTCTCCAGTCCCTTCACTGTTGGCCTGAGTTCCACTTACCGGCTGGGCAGACCCGGGGCTGGAGCAGAAGATGGTGTACTTGCGGATGACCCCATTGGGCTTGGCTGGGGGGAGCCAAGACACGACCACGCTGCTGGCTGATGAAGGGACTGCCTTGATGCCAGCAGGGGGGCCTGGAACTGAGCAGGGAGAAGACTGGGTCAGTTCAGAGCGGGGCAAGGGGGACAGCGCCATCTGAGAGGATTTCCGGGAGGAGGTATCCTTGCCTGACAGTCAGAAGGACAAAATGGTCCTTTGGGGGACTGTGACAAAGTCTTTGAGATGGTGTCAGCAGGAGTGGCCACTTTCGACATTGAAGTGACATTGAAGCCCAACAATGAAGACTAGGGATAAATGAAAGAGAAGAAGAACCCACGTTGCATCTTACAAGGCCACTTGTAAACCTTGAAGACCCCGGAACATAAACTTAACAGCCATGTCATGTCAATTGACGGGATTGTGCCGGGAGAGCGTGGCCTCCCGTGCCAAATCAAGAGCACTAATCAATGAGGTGATCAGTTACGTCCTTTTGTATCTGCACCTGTAGCTAACCTTGCCTTCTTTTCCGGTTGCTGCAAAACCACACACATTGTAGCAGTCGCCCTTTCACCCCCTTCACTGATGTCAGTTACATGAGCGATGCTGGGTCACCTTCTCTCCCTTTCCCATTTCCACCAACCATATTCGACGATGACGGATGGAGAACTTCTCCCACACGATTTTACCCATTCCTGCCAGTTCATCGAAGTGAGAACATTGCTTGTTGTGTGTGTTTGTGATGGACTAATTTCCCTCATGGACATAATGTCCTCCGGGCTCATCCATGGTGTAAGATGCCTCGGGGGCTCCGTTCTCTTGATTGTTGAGTGGAATGCCATTGTAGGTATGCACCTCATTTTACTGATGCCTCTGCTGATGGGCACTTGGGTTATTTCCTTCTTGTCTGTGACTGTGAGCAGTGTTGCAATGACTCGAGCAGTGCATAGATCTCATGTCACTGTCATTAGATCCGTAGGGCTTAGGCTGAGGAGGGGACTTGCTGGGTCACATGGCAGCTCTACCTCGAGTTTTTTTAGGAATCGCCAGTCTATTTTCCACAACAGCTGCATCCTTTTGCAGTTGATGAAGGCTTTGATTTCTTCCTATTCCTTCCACATGTTATTTTCTGTCATTATTATTATTATTGAATCTTAACCATCCTTCTCACTGCCATTGAATTGATTCTGACTCATAGTGATGGTGGCAGTTACATAATCTCCTGTCAACTTGTGAAGGGGTGGAGTCTAGTCAGTCGATCCTGTCATAGCCAATCATGCCTCTGTGTGGGCATGGCCTTCTCCGGAGGATTCTGGGAACTCCTGTCTTCCTCCCTGGAGCTGGGACACATACACTCTGTTTCGTTTTCCTGCTCACAAGACACTGATGGAGCCAGAGCCCTGGAGTTGGAGAACCACATCAGCACTGAGATGCTGAGAAGAGGTGCTCCTGGCCGGAAGAGCTGTGTCTTGAGCATTTCTGATCCCGAATTGTAATCTCTTAACTTTCCTAATAAATAAGGTGACCAGATTTTAACATTGGTAAAGTGGGACAAAAGCGGAACACCATTGATAAAACTCCTATCCTGGCAAAAGAGCCACATGGCAGCTGAAAACCGTATACCCTAGCTTGTCGTGCATTCTTTCCAAAAATCGGGACTTTTTTAAAACGCCGCGGGATGTGGGACAAATTGTTACAAATTGGAACTGTTCCGCCAAAAGCGGGACATCTGGTCACCTTACTAATAAACCTCATCATTGCTGGTATGGTCGCTGAGTTTTGCTTGGCCAGCAATGATGTGGCACGTGCAGTGGGAGGAATGGCGGTGTCAGAATTGGTAAAGAAAGTTGCAGAGTGGAGGCATGTCTGACCTTGACCCCATAGAAATTGGCCTTGGAGGAGGGTGACTTTGATTCTCTCTCCTCCAGGTGAGGCCACACCCACACCCTCTTTGTACACTCTAATGCTTAGATCAGTCCTGAAGATTTTCTTTCTCATCTGGAGTTTGTCTCTTGGCTCATTCGACGAATGTGTTTAACTTAACGAGGCCCTAGTTATCTCTCTGTCTTCTGTGGTGTGTGCATTTCATTGTTGTGTTGGACAATCTACCACTGAAAAAAAAGTCATATCCCGAAATTTTGCTCTGATATTTTCTGCCAACTATTTTGAGGCTTTAGGTGTAACATGCAGGGTTTTGACCCATTTGAATTGGTTTTGGAGATGGTGTGAGTTAGGGATCTTGTTCCACTCTCCTGCAGGTACAGATCCTGTTTTGCGAGCACCTTTGAGCAGGTTTGTTTTCCTCATCGAGAGCCAGCAGGCAGTTTGTTTCAATTCCTGGCATTTTTTGTAATTTGTTTTTAAGTCAGGAAGAGTGACGCCTCCTCCTTTGATCCTTTTTCAAAACTGCTTGGACTATTCTAGATATCTTACCTTCCCATGTAAAATTTAGGCTTTAGTTTTTCCATTTCTGTTAAAAAAAATGCTGTTGTAGTTGTGCTCAGGATTGAACTGTATCTGTAGATGTCTTTGGATAGTATCAAGTTAATTTATCTTTAAGGCAGTGACTTAAGTATTTGGATTTAGATAGCTCTCTTTCATCCACGGTTTCTATTTCTGAAGTTTCAGTTATCCGCAGTCAAGCAGGATCTGGAGATATTTAAACGGTGCCCTCTTATAAGCAGCATGGTGAAATCTCGTGCTATCTTGTTCCATCAGAGACGTGGCTTCCTCCTCCTCTACTGGGCATGTGACTGGGGAATATACTTGGCTGAGCGACTGCACTGTGCCCTGCTGGTATCCAGTGGGTTACTGTTGCCCACTTGGTGCACCCTGGGTACCTGTGATACGTATATATAGGAACAACACCCCCCCCCCCACTATATATATAAGGGTCTGTGCTGTCCTTGGTTCCAAACATCCCCTGGGGGTCTTGGATGTATGCCCATGGACAGGGAAGGGATACTGTAGATGCTAGTTCACTAAACACTTCTGATCTGCCCCATTGGTTCTATTTTCCTTTCTCTTTCTTTTTGTTCCGAGTGTTTTCAAAGATTTTTTTTAACACCCCCTCTATTAGTTTGGTCATTAATTAGTCTCCCACTACTTCTCATAGTCACCCTGTAGATTGCAACATACATCTTTAATTTGCTAAAATTTAATATTAATAATTGACATCTTTCTTTTTTCCCTCAGAAATTTCAAAGACCTTAGAACTTCCCTTTAATCCCCTCCCCCATTAATATGTTCTTGTTGCTTTTTGTCCTAATCTGGAACATACTTTAAACATCACGAGATGATATCATCATCCTTTTATGTAGCCAACATTACCTAAGAGTTATTCAGTGAATTTTGCACTTTTTCCTTTTTTTTGCATCACCGAGTTTTCATCTGGGATAATGTTCCTTCTATCTCAAAATGCCCTTTACCATTTTTCTAAGGCAGGTGTTCTCTCAGTCTCTGGATATCATCTTAATCTTGAAAACGTTTTTTGCGGGATATAAAATTATAGACTGATCACTCTTTTCTTTGGGCACCTTAAATATACAGTTGCTCTCCTCCCCCCCCAATGTTTCTGGTAAGGAATTAGCTTTCACTCTAACTGCTGTTCATCAAAGGCAGTGTGTGCCTCTTTCCCTCGGAATACTTTCAAGATTTCTCTCTCTTTGTGCTTTGATTTTTTAGCAGCTTTATTTTGATGTGACATGCTATGGGTTTCTCGTTCTTGCTTTGGGAGTTTGTAGAACTTCTTGCATTTAGAACCGATGTTTTTCATCAGTTTTGCACCGTTTTTGGGCATTTTCTCTTTGGGATGTTTGTCCTCACTGTATCCTCTCTGTTCTTGAGACTCAGAATGTGGTCCATGGATCAACATCAGCAGCACCAACCCGGAGCATGACAGAAATGCGAAATTCCAAGTTCCCCCTAGACCTACATAATCAGGATCTGAATTGTAACACGATACCCGAGTCAGCTGTAGGCACATTAAAGCTTTGAGTATCTTACCTGCTATTCCTATCTTTCCATCCATTTGCCTTTCTGTGCTCTCTGCGTATTTTCTTCTGACCTGTCTTTCAGTTTGCTACTTGGCTCTTCAGCTGTGTCTAGTTTGCTATTAAACTCATCTACTGAATTCTTATTTTGTGGTGTTTGTATTTTTTTGGTTCTAGAATTTCCATTTGGGAGTTTTTAAATCTCTGTTGATATTTTGATCTTGTTTAGGTTTTTAATGTCCTAGGTCATTTTCAGCATAAAGTCTTCACTTGATAAAAACCTCTCTTTGGAACTCCCATGGATGTATTTCTTTTTTCCTGCGGGAATTTACTTATGTTGTCCCATGATTTCGTTGTTGTATGCCGGGAACATCATTTGTAGAAATAAAGGATTCATGTTTGCTTCTGATCAGCGCCTGGCAGTACTAGCGATTTGGGGCCACCTCAATCTAATTCCCAGAATGTAGGGGATTTCAAGCTGTCTGTTCTTGGTTCACTGTGTCCAATTGTGCTTCCCATCAGGGTTTCCACTCAACGTGAGAGGCCTCACCAGGCAGACCCTTTCCACCCCCCACTGGTAGACTCTATACCTTTGTCCCTCTCTTTCCAGAGCTGCTCAGCCTCTCAGCAACTGCCTCCAGATTCAGCAAACATCCCCATGGCAAAGATGCTCCAAATGCCAGACTCATATCCTCGCCCTTTATTATCTGTTGGATACTGGGCCAGTAATTCTTCACTGTCTTGTCAGCTCTTTGATGCCTTTAAGTATTTTATTTAAATAACAAAAAAAGTACCTGGATTTCCTAGCAGTCTTCAGTGAAAAAGAAGAGAACACTGAGTTACCTTGACAGCCATCACCAGACCTGGAATTCCTCTGATAAGTCTTCTCTCTAGACCTGCCCACCTCCTCCACCGGTCATCCTCACGGCTGCTGTCCCCAGTCTTTCCTCACTTCTGCCTGCATGCCCACAGGGGTTCCCAGGGCTCCCTGACATATGATTGTAGCCCACTTTCCTCCCTGGGACCAGTCCTCCACACAGCTGCAAGAGTTACCCTTCAAAGGCCTAGCCATGCCTTTTCCTCACTGGAACACCAAAAAAGTCATTTAAAATTCAACTCAATCTTGTTCTCTGATGCCACGTTGCTTGGTTTTATATTCCTTGGAAGGTGAAGACCAGGCAAGGCGCTTTTGCAGGCCATCGAATCCTCCCACTCAGACTGACTGACATTCAGGATCTGGTAAGTGAGCTTGATGGAATGTGTTTGCATTTGATCTCATTGCTTCCTGCACGTTCTTCTAATTTCCTGAGAATTTTTTCCTCCCTTGGAGAAATGCAGCCTTTTGAGGAAGACAGGTGGCGAGGCACAGGATTAGGATATTTGGATTGGGATAGTTGCCTAGTCACACAGTGGAGCTGGTACTGGAACACAGACCATGGGATAACTGCGCCCTGACGGAGGGAACTTGGAAGAGGTGGGAGCGCAGTGATGCGGCAGGCACAGCGGGCTGCCTCCCCAACAGCCGCACCTTCCTATTGTTTGTAGACACAGGCTCGATTCGGTTTGGGGACCACACTGCTCCAAGCATCAGAAAAAGCTGTCCTCCTGGCTTACCCCGAAGATCGCGCTTCTTCAGGCCACGTCAGTCATGATTGGTTCTTCACAAGGCACGTGACCCCAGGCTGCCCAATGGGACGCGAGAATGATCGGCCGAAGGGGTTTCTGGGAAGTTTCTTCTCTTCCAAGATAGCCCATGTCCGGGAAGTCTTGCCTCGCCCCTCTGACCTCTGTCTTGCCTGGCAGACCCGACAGAGCGGCTGGCAGAGCAGAAAGGTGGGGACCCCTGAGTCGGCCAGCCCGGAGCGGCCCTCACTGGGGGCTTCCTTTGATGTGCGGCAGTCAAGGTCCTTCCTGCTCGAAAATGGGCTTTGTTATTACTGCTTCCTAACCGGTGCTCTCGTGCTGCGACAGGAAGTTCAGAGGCCACGGCCTTCGCTTCCCAGGCCTCGATTTCTCACCTGAGGCCAGAAAGAACTCCTGCCTCGCAGGGTTATTGGGAAAGCTGAGTCTTCAAGGTCAACTGCGTATGAAAACACATGACACACACGTGAAGCCAGAGCTGCGACTGTGGATGCAGTCTCATCCGACAGCTAGCTGATTCCGTCCTGCCTGGGATTCTCATCCGGCCAAAAGTGTCACCTCCTTGCCAGCATCCTGGCAGCCCCAAAGAAACATTTGCTAGGACTGGACAATTTCGTGGGGATTTTACGATGATCTTGCTTCTCCAACAACTGGATCCATCACCACTATCACGGTTTCCGCAAGAGGCGCTGGGCTTCCAAGAGCTTCAGTGACTTGCCCAAATGCACGTGGGTTGTCTTTACCAGAGGCTTTCCCCCTCTGCGAAGCTGCCTCTTTAAGATGAGTGCACTGCCTCTTGGGACACGGGATCCTGCCCGTTGCTCCTTCTAGATGTGGCTCCCAGTGTTTGAGAGTGAAGGGCTAGAAGGGTCTTGCAGGGAGGGACGGGGCTCCTGGGGCACTGGGTCCCCTCATGGCGCCTGGCCTCGGTCAGTGAGTACATACGGAGGTGCTTACGGCTCAGGTGCCACTTCAGAGTGGGGGGTCCACGCAGTTCACCTTTGCAGGCCAGGAAGGCACCTGTGTGTGTTCTTTCCACTCACGTTCCACCACCACAAGTTGATTCTGACTCACAGCAACCCTATAGGACAGGGCAGAACTGCCCTGTGGGCTTCCAAGACCGTAACTCTTCACGGATTAGAAGCCGCGTCTTTCTGCTGTTTAGAGCTGCTGCCCTTGCGGTTAGCAGACCATCGCACAACCCATTATGCCACCAGGGCTCCTTGGTGCCCTGAGGCCTCCAATCGGCCCAGGCATGGAGTGCCACCCAGCTCAGTCTCCACGCAGGGGCAGTGACGGCCGAGAGCTGTCCCAGGATGCTTTCATTAAATGCCAAGAGAAGTAGGGCACTCAGTTTGGTAAATATTTAATTGCTCAGAGCTTGGGGAGGGGGCTGATGGGAAGGAAGGGGCTCAGAGCGCTTGGCAGCATGAAGCTGAGCCGGGAGCCGGTCTGGTCACGGAGCACGGTACTGTGCTATGACTCTCTTCACCGACACACCCAGGCCCAGTGGCTAACCCCTTCAGGACCTTCCACCAAATTGTGTGGGCAGAACCTAGACAATGCCAGGAAGGCTACTGGGATGGCCAGTGGGTGCCACTCATACTGCCCATGAGCCAGCATCTCTCCTGGTGCAGACACATGGGAAAGTGCTAAGTGGAGCAGCTAAATGGGGCAGGAGAACAGGGCTAGAAGCAGGCCCCTGAGCTGCACACGGAAGCCCACAGGGCACATGTACACAGCCCTCTTGGGCTGTTCTCTTGAGTACTGCCCCTGTAGAGGCGTGTCCTCCCTCTCCCTGTGCAGGAATCGCTCACCCAGGGGGAGTTCCTGCCCTCGCACCCATCCCAATATCTGTGTCTCCAGGAAACCGGGCTGAACCTTGGGAGCGGATACCTGGAAAAGATACTCTTGGGGTGAGGGCAGAAGGAGGCGGCGCGTCTGGCCTTTGACTTGGTGCTGCAGAGTGGTGGGTGCAGCTCTGGGTACCAGCCGTAGCCTCCCTTGGCTCTGAGGGCGGGGGTGGCTCAGCTCAGGCTGAGGGCAGGAGGGCAGGGGCGGGGACTCACCATCCTCCTTGGTCTGGATGTAGAGCACAGTGCTGCGCACGCCGTCCCCGGCCTGCGTGTAGGCCAACACCTGGACGCTGTAGTTGGTGAACTTCTCCATGCCGCGCAGCTCCACCCGCTCCCGTGTGGTGGTGATGTTCTGCATCTCGCCCCACTCTGCCGGAGACACGCGGCCTGAGTGCACCTGGCCCAGGTTCCTGCCTCTGGCCCAGGCCGGTCACAGGCAGGTTTGCTTCACTGGGGCAGACCTTGCTCCTTGGTGGCAGAACCAGAGGGCCCTCTACCTCAAGGTGTACAGAGGCAGAGTTGGGGCATTGCTTCCAGGCTCTGGCTCCCCACTTGGCCCCAGAAAGGCGAGGGACACATGCTGGCCTGGCCCTACCTAGCTCTCGGCTGACCTTCATCAACGTCAACTTAACATTCACCCCTTTAGGATCCCTTCCCCACTCCAAGCTGCCTTCGTCCCAGGCAGGATTAGGCGGCCTCCTTGCAGTTAGTGGACAGGGTCCTGCGGCCTCTCTGCTTTCTCCCCACCAGGGAGGACACCCAGCTCTACCAGCAGAACATGCATGTGGATGCTGGTGAGGCTGGCAGAGCTGCAGACATTATCTTGGAGGGCCGGGCTATGCCCCAAGCTCAGTAAAGTCTCACTGTGGCTCTGCCGAGGAGTTCTTCTAGACTCTGAAGAAGACCTCCGAGAGAGGGTCCCATGGGAAGGCCAGGTTCTTGGAAGGCTCTGGAGTAGAAAACTCTCTGCCGGGGACTACTGGGCCTTCAGGCAGCCAGACCCAGACCCTGGCTGAGCACAGGCCACATCCTCGCTGGTGGCCAGGTGTGGGCACTGGGTCTAAGGCAGAGGCCTGACCAGGGGAGGGCAGCCTGCGGTCCAGGGGACCGTGCACAGCTTGATGGGATGCTGGGTCAGTGCAGGGGGAGGCAAGGGCATGACTCTCAGAGACCTGTGCAGCTGGCCTTCCTTTCCAGGAGGTCCAGCATCAGCAGGCTTGCCCAAGACGCCGCCCCAGGAAGCGAGGGCCCAGTACAGCATGGCGGCTGAGGTCAGAGGGCAGGCAGTGTTGGGGAGGCCCACACCCACAGGCTTTTGAAAGCAGCAGCAGTGATGGGAACACAATGCACCCCTCCTCCCGGGGCCAGCTGCAGCGATGAGAATGTGGCAGCACTTCCTAGCTCAGCATGCTGGGAGCTACACAGACCAAGCCTCCGGGCTGGAGGCCGCTGCGTAAACACTTGGCCGGGGCACTGTGAACGGGCCCACTCCAACCCTCATGGTGGAGCACATGGCCATTGAGCTGGGTGACTGCAGCTGGAGTCCAGCTGTTCCAGCAAAGGAGGGGGCACAGGTGGCAGGCTTCCTGGTCACTGTAGGGCCCTTTACGTACACACGCTGGCAAGACATTGGTGGGCAAATCTGCGCAGACCAGTACACCCGGGGCATGGGAAGACACCAGGAGGCTGGTCATCCTTTCAGGCAGACTCTACCTGACACCTGACAGACTCTACCTGTCTCTGGCTGCTCTGGGTTCCGGGCATGGGCTGATCTCCCCAGATTGCACCCGTCCTTTGCAGCCTGCCTCTGGTTGGGTCTGGCCAAGGGGAGCTCTCACCAGGCTCTGGTAAACCCTGTTTCCTCCTCTGGCCCTGGCAATAGTGGCCTTCAGCTGTTGCTGGCCCTGGGGGGCTCCCTCCTCCCCCTCCTTCCTCTGAAAGTAGTCCCTCTATTAAACTCTCTTCCATTGCCCCACCTGAGTGTGCCCACAGCCGCCTGCTAGGGCTCAGATGGACCCAGCCGCCAAGGACGCGTTTCACCATGTTGAATAGAGAAGTAAGCACTCATCAGAGGTTTGGATTGGGGTCTCTGGCCCACCTTCACTAGAGAGGAGACCCTGTTTCACACCAGCCACCCTTGCCCCCGCCGCTGGTCCAAAGGAGCACGAGTGAGTGGGCCCTGAGCTCTGTATCACGTCTTTGCCCCCTCTCCCATGGGCCCACGTGGATGCACAGAAGGCTACAAGCCCACTGGATGTCCCAGGGCAAGATGCTCAGCCTGAGAGCCAACTTCGAGCCACCTGTGCCCATCCCCCCGTCCCTGCACACTTACCCCCATCCATGTAGAGTGACCAGAAGATGACCCGATAGCCTTTGAGGACACCATTGAGGGTGCTGCGAGGGGGCTCCGACCAGGAGATGACGGCCACATCTGAAGTGATGGACAGGGCCCGCACGTTCTCGGGGGGTTGGCTGGGCACTGTGTGGGGCGGGAGAGGGCACCAGAGAATCTAGTCAGGCTGGGAGGTCCGGAAATAAGTGCACAGGGGTGCTGGGGTGGGGTAGATTGGGGTAGGCCTGGTGCCCTACCAGAGCCCCTCCATATAAGACTGGGGGAGATGACCCGGTTCTGGGAGTTGAGTGAGCAGGGGCTTGCAGGGCAGCGAAGTGGACAGAAGCTGCACCTTCCTGATTCCAGCTTCGTATTCTGAGTAGGAGGTGCTGAACTTAGCATGAGCCCTTTGGAATCATCAGTGGGCCACTGTGACCCAGGGACCCACCTCTAATGAGCCCAGCAGAACCTCGAAGACCAGCAGTCTGACCGGGAGTGTCTGCAGGTTACGGCCGCATTGAAGACGGCAGTGGTGCTTCAGTGGTAGAATTCTCACCTTCCGTGCGCTGGGTCGGACTCAGTGCCCAGGCCCTGCACCTCATGCACACCCACCACCCATCTGTCACCGGCGGCTTGAATTTTGCTAAGTGGCTAAACAGCTTTCCGTGATGCTTCCGGATGAGGAAGGACTAGGGAGAAAGGCCTGGTGATCTGCTTCCGAAAACATGTCCACCATTAAGAACCCTCAAGGTTCTCATCGTTTGAGTGACAGCCTGCGGATGGCACAGGACTGGGCGGTGTTCTGTTTAATTATGCATAGAGTCCAGGCCGACCGGAAGGCAGCCAGTGACAATATCATCTTAGGTATTTAGAAGTGGTCAGTCTCTGCATCATGTGGCCAGGCAGGCTAAGCTGAGACCTGACTCCTGTGTCCCTATGTCAAACTGAAGGGAAGAAAATACCAGAAGAGGATCTCAACCAACCATGATGAAGGGGAGAGAGCTTCCGTTTTGACCTTTAGGATTCATCTCTTGCCCTTGAACATCGACACACCGCAATGCCTGGGACTGTGGGAGAATCAGCTCTGGGATCAATTTGTGTGTGTGTGTGTGTGGGCTCTCTGTGCCTTTGGCCTTCTCCTTCCCACAACGGTCTTTGTGTTTAACCTAAATCCCACCCTTCTGGCCTGGCCCAAGCCGGGGTGTCCTCTGTAGGATGACAGATGGCCTTGGTGTTTGCCTGCCCAGGGAGAAGTTGGCGGCCCCTCCTGCTGGCTCCCGAGGAGGAGCCGGGGATGAAGGGGAAGGCCAAGGCTGCTTCGCTCTGAACGGGAGAAAGAAGGCACATGCTGGATGGAAGGTAATTAGATCCCGTTGCCCCACAAGAGGCAACTCTAATTTTTATGAGCATTTAAATGATAATACATCATCCTAACAATCCTCTTTGAGAATGATAATTGTTTCATATTACTTAGGTGTAAAAATATAAGCACCATGTAATTAGGGACCCAGTGTAATAAACTAATACAGATCGCCTGTTCGAACAAAATGAAGGTAATATAATTATGAAAAAGACACTATTGCTAAAGCAGGGGCCCTTGAATACCCCAGGAGGAGTGCTAATATTGCCAGGAAACGATCAGGATCTGACAGGCTAACGAGGGCCTTAATTAAGTATGAAAAACTGCTGAGCAAATGCTGCGGGAAAACTTTCATCCCCCTCTCTTTGTTGTTTTGGAAATGACTCCAAAGCCCGTGCTCATCCCTCCCTGTTGGAAACCCCAGGGGGCCCTGGACCAAGCTCAGGCGGTGAGGCCCTGGAAGGGGCTGGGGGTGGGACTTGGCCTGGGCCAGACGGAGCTCAGTGTAGGTCAGACAGGCTGCAGGCTCAGGACTGTGTTCCACCTGGAGCTGCGATCTTGGAGCACCGTGCATCCGTCCCTTTTCCCCTGCCTCCAGCCTTGCACACAAGCAAAAGGTGCCAACCGGGTGACGGGGTAGGAGTATGGGATTTGAGGCCAGGCCTGCATTTTGATCCTGGCTCTGTCGTCACCAGATGGGGATTTGGGGCAGATCAGTTGGCCTCTGGGAGTCTTGGCTATCTTTGCTATACTTCTCAAAGACACTCCCTGGACCAGCAACGTCAGCGTCACCTGGAGACTTACTAGAAATGCATATTCTTGACTTAAGCAGACGCTCTGGGCATGAGGCCCAGAGCCCACGGTTATATCCCTTCTAGAAGATTCTGATGTACCTTCAGTTTGAGAGCCACGATGTTAAGATAGCTCTTGGGATGAAAACCCCAGCGCGAAGAGAGGCCTCTGATCTTCCTCAGCCCTAGCTGGAGTCAGTGAGGGTCTTGGGCAAGGAGAGGGACTGGAGGAGGACTGCCCACACATAGCTTGGGCACCTCCCCCAACCTCCCCCTACTTCTCTGCTGCGGATGTGTCCCCACTCCCTTTCTGTGCTGACCTTGAACCCACGTGTCCATGGCTCTGGGGCTACTGGCACCTGCTCCATTTTAAAGCCCAGACTGCGCCCCAAGACAATGATATTGGAATATCCAGGGAGAAGCCGGGACATTTGTCTTTTCAAAGTCCCCAGACACTTCCAGTTTGTGATAGGCCAGGTGAAGAGCCACTGGTATGAGCTAAAGGAAGCCTGTGAGCATCATGTCGAAAGCATGCCACTGCTACTCTAAAAGTTGGAGGTTCAAACCCACCAGCTGCCCCCTGTGAGAAAGATGAGGCTGTGTGCTCCCTGAGGATCCGCCTGGGAAACACTATGGGGCAGATCTGCTCTGTCCCAGAGAGGGGCTCCGATCAGAATTGACTCAGCAGCGATGGATGTGGTATCCACTCTTCTTCATGTGGACGGCACTCTGGGGCCTAAGGTGCCCCTACCCAGAGCCACAGCCTCTTCAGTGGCCTCACATACGTGTAGAAGATGGACACTGAACAAGGAAGGCCACAGAAGGACTGACGCCTTTGAATTACAGGGTCAGTCCGCTGGGACCTCGGACTGTCAGAAGAACAAATAGATCTTTCTGGGGAATGCTCCTGAGAAGCAAAGGTGGCCCTGTGCTTTGGCATTCTTGGGAGTGAGCAGTCCTAGAGCAGGACATCATGCTTGGTAAAGTAGGGGGTCAATGAGAGAGAGAGAGAGAGACCCTCAGTGAGACGGGTTGACATAGGGATTGCCACCATGGGCTCAAACAGGACAACGGAGGGGATGGTCCAGGACCCCCACATGGTTTCCTAGGGCCACCACGAGGAGGACTGGATTTGATGGCACCAGAAAACAACAAGGAGCATACTGTTTTCCTCGCTCTCTGACCTCCTGTGTCCTGTTCCCCAGAGAGGACACGAGCAGCCAGAGGCTGATCTGAATCTCAAAGATGCTGGGCTACCTTTTGGTTCTGCTCCTTAGGGGGTGGCAACCAGCCTAGCCCCATCTTGCCTGGCCCAGGCTCAGGCTCAGTTGACAGTGGACACCCTCTCTGTGCTTGGAGAACAGGCATGTCCTGCTTCATCCCACCCTGTCTCCCCTGGAAGAACTGGGTCCCACAGTTTAGTCGTCAAGAGCTTAGAGTCCTTTTGGGTCATCAAAGAATGAAGTTTACAAAATTGGGCTCTACGTCCTCCGGGGCATGGGTCGTAGGATCTCTTAACTCCACAGTTTCATCCCAAGTCCCTGAAACAGAGGGTGGGGGACTCCAGACCAGATTTGGCTTTTCCCCTTTTACAAGCTGGAAGATGTGAGGGAGAGAGGACAGGCCCCAGAGAGAGAGAGGACTGAGCCGGGTGAGAGAGGTGAGGTAGGGCACCAGAGAGGGGGGGAATGAGAGGCTGTTGACCCAAAGAGGACAAAGCAGAAGGTGGTGGTGGGGAGGAAGAAGCATGGCTGGAGAGAAGGCCGGGAAGATAGGCCAAGAAACCCCCCGACAGTGCGTGGGTGTAGAGACCATGTGCTGGGTGGGGCCTGTGGCAAGAGGAGAGGGGGCCTGTGTGGACCGGGGGACCAAGGTGGCATCCAGGAGAGGGCCAGCCATGGGTCTGTGTGCCTTTGCCCGTGCTGGGTGCTCACCATCCTCCAGAGTGGTGGCATTGATCTCACTGGAGGAGGGCCCTGTGCCGGCCCGGTTGAAGGCTTGGACCACCACCCCGTACTGGGCGAACTTCTTGAGGTTGTCCAGGGTGTAGACTTCACTGTCCCCTGTGGCCTTCATCTCCACGATGCTGTACTGCCCGTTGCTGCCGGGGCTGTTCTCACGGTAGCCAATCTGGTAGCCACGGATGACACCGTTCTGCAGCTCCTTCTTGGGGGCCTGGGAGGACAGAGGGGACAAGGACACAGTGACACCCAGGGTAGACCAAGTTTCTCCTTGCTCCCACCCATCAATGGCTTCCATCCCGTTCCGAGGGAAAGGGGAAGTCCTTACAGATGTCTCCCATGGCCAGAGGTGGTCAGGCCCTCCATGGCCTCCTGGACCAAGGCCCCTTCTCTGTTGGCTTCCTATGTTCCAGCTACACTGGCCTCTTACCTCTTCCTTGATCATACCAGGCAAACACCTGCCTTATAGTGTAGATGGGGAGTCTTTCTCTGAATAGTCACCTGGCTTGCCCCTCCCCTGTGTCCTGCCCTGCCTGCAGTGTCACCTTCTCTTCAACTCGTTCCTGGCAATCCCCTCGATGAGACATCACGTACCCCATTTCCTCACTGTGTTTCCTGTTCCCACCCCTCCTCCTGTGCTGACCTCCTGAACTGTCTTTGGGCAAAGGCTGCCTTTTCAATCTCAAAAGGTTGATGCTATAATGCTGGGCGCAAACACCCCTGTCCATACCCGCAGTCCCAGTCGGGTGCAGCTTTAGTAACTGGGCCTGGCCATCTCTGATTGTCAAGGAAGCACCCACCCCTGGAAGCCTGCCTTGAGATGATGCCTCCAAATGGTCAGAGCAGAAACAATCGAGTTAGTAAACCCAGCCTTGTGGGTGGTTTTTATTTTAATGCAATGAATGGTGTCAACGAACTGCCATTTGAAGCTCACTGTTAAGTCAAGAAAACCAAATTTTTAACTTCACCTAATTGTCGGGAACTCACCAAAGAGGTGTGTATGTGAGTGTGTTTAATTGACTTGGGCGTCTGCTAAGGCCCGGACGGCCTTTCCCTCTGCACCAGGCAGTGCCGTTAGCTGCGGTGGTGAGGGGCAGACGCCCGAGTCTGGTCGGCCCACATCTGGCCACCTGGACAATCCCGGGGCGCCGCAGATCACCCAGGGGCTGGCATTATCTTGTCATTGTTTCCCCACAGGGGTTGAAGCCCCTTCATAGCCAGTCCCCCGCAGACATGACAAGTGATCAGATCAGGACAACCAGGCCGAGTGCGTGCTGCTGAGTCATTCTGGTCACAGCACGCCACGCGGGCGCAGCAGAGCTGCCCGTGGTGTTTCTGGGCCGGAATCTCTGTGGGTGCAGATCTCCAGACCCGTCTTCTGTGGCTCTGTGGGGGGTGGTGGTGGGGTTTGTAACTGCCACCCTCTAGACCAGGGGTTCTCCACCTTCCTCATGCGCGACCCTTTCATACAGCTCCTCATGTGGTGGTGACCCCCAACCATAAAATGATTTTCGTTGCTACTTCATCACTGCGATTTTGCTACAGTTAGGAATCGGGTGACCCCTGTGAAAGGTTTTTCGACCCCCAAAGGGGTCACAACCCACAGGTTGAGAACCACTGCTCTGAGCTGTTTGCATCACTCGGTCACTTTCACCCAGGTGAATATGTATGTGTTTGTATCAGGTGTCATATCTAGAGCATATGTGTCTCCATGTGTTATACACACAGGAGAGGCTTCTCAGGTCTATGCAAATCCTCCCTCTCCTCTCTCCTGCCCGCTTTCCCCCTCTCTCCTCATCTGTCTCTTCTCTATTCCCTGCCTCCCTCCAATAGGCCCACTCAGCCACTCAGGATTTAAATCAATCTTAACAATATTTCTCTGAAGCATTAAGAAATCAATAGGGCTGATTGCAAATTTATGTCATAACGCCAGGCAATCCATCTCACAGAGAGTCTTAAAATGAAGTGACTTATCTTTCAAGTGAATCTTTATTTTTCATTAATCTGTTTCTTGGTGTTAAAAAAAAAAAGTCCCCTGAGAAGTCAGCCCCAAATTTATTGACTGGCTGCTTCATTCTGAAGTTCTAACTTTCTAATCAATTTTATTTTTCATTATGAGACTTTGGAGAAATAAATCTGATTCTAAATTTTTATTGACCTCTCGGTCAGAGCTTTGTAGCCAAACGTCCCCGTATTTTCCATATTTATTCACCGTCCCCACCCTGGCTCTCTCAGAGTACACCTCAGACATGCGTGTGGAGGTGGCACACAGGCCCACGTGGGGGTTGGCTCCGGGCTTCACCCCAGTCTGTGAGGTCAGCCCTGGGGCCCAGATCTGAATCTGGAGGCAAAGCAAGGCTGCAGGTCCTGCGTAGGCGGGCTGGCACCGTGCCCTGCTCTCTTTCCTCTTGGCCCTTTCTCGAGGGCCGGAAGGTGTGCGTGGTATGTAGATGACTGCCACCTGCATGGTGCGGTGTGTGTGTGAGAGATGTGATGGGGCGTGTATGTGCTTGAGAGTAGTGTGTTATGTGTACGTGTGGCTTTGGGGGTGTGTAGTGTGTGTGGTTGATTTGGTATGTGTGCATATTTGAGCTCAGTGCACTGTGTGTTGTGTTGTGGGGTGTGTACAAATATGGTGTACAGGTGGTACGATGTGACGTGTGTGTACGTGTGTGAGAGGAGCATGTGCCAGGTGAACTGTGTATGTGAGATGTGATGGAGGGTGCGGTGTGTTTGAACACAGGTAATTAATTCTGTGGGTGTATGCTGGGCTTTGGGGGATGTCTTGTGCTGTGGGGTGCATGCTATGTTGGGCGTATGAGTACAGTGTGGTGTGCACATGTGCTATGTGTATATGTTTGAATACAGTCTGTTCTATGCTTATGGCATATTGTGGGGTGTGTGAGGATGGTGTGGTGTATTTTTGTGATGTGTGCAGTGTGTGTACGTGTGTATAGTGTAGATAGGGGTATGCGTGTTGTGTTGTGGGGGTGTGTGAGGATGGTGTGTGCAGTATAGCTAGATGTGTGTGTGTGTGCTATTGCATGGGTGTGTGGCATGGCGATCATGTGTGTGTATGCGCATGTGCATGGTGCAGTGTTTGTGTGGAGGCAGGATATGGGTGTGTGTGGTCTGATGGGGCCCATGCAAGTGTGGGAGCACAGTGTATTGTGCTGTGTGTTGTGTGTAAGCGTGGTGTGGTATGTGATGGAGTATCATTGGGGGCATGTGCATTTTGGATGTTACAGGGTATGTGTGTGTGTGCTTGTCTGTGTGGGCACAGTGTGTCCATGTGTTGGTGCATGTGCAGGTGTGTGCATTCATATATTAGGCCTTTCTGGGTCTCCCCGGTCTCAATCCTACCTTCAGGAAGACTACAGAAGGCGGCATAAAGCAGCCAGGCCTTTTCTATCAGGAGTTAGTCAGAGAGTGACCCTGGATGCATGGTCTTGGAGGAGGGGCCAAGGGAGCAGGACCTCCCAAAGCCCTTTGTTTAGATGGGAATGCTCCCTGAAAACAAGAACAGGGCGGGCTGAGGAAGCTCTCTCAGGAGCTCTGGCTGTGTCGTGGGTGGACGTGGCCATGGCCTCCTTGCAATGGCCCGAGAAGTGAGTGACCCAGCTCCCACCCCTCTGCACCCATGGCTTTCTCTGCCAGACGGGGGTTAAGTCACCTCTTCTGGCCCCCGTGACGGGAGGGCGATCTGTCGGGTGACTCAGCATGTGAGGCACAAGAAGTCACCAGTACGGCTAGCCCTCTGTGTCATGGCTGGCATGTGGCTCGGGGGCCAGCACCCCCAGGACAGCATAGGGCCTGGATCCCGCTCCCTACTGTTTTCATTCCCTGCCCAGCTCCGGCTCTTCCCTAAGCGTCTCCTGAAGAACCCCTTGTTCTGCCACACCGCTGGCCCTTAGCGACGAGGGCAGCACACAAGCACACAGGGGTCTGTCTCCTCGACACCTGCCCCTCCCTGGCCCCTGAGAAGTGGGGCGGGTCACTATTTCCACCCTGGCATTCTAGATGAGGAAACAGAGCCCACAGAGCCCAACCTCCCACTCGTGGTGCTCATCGAAACGCTCAGCCCAGCTGCTGGGCCCTGACTGGCGGCACGCCGCTCTCGTCCCAGCCCTGTCCTGCTCTCTCCATAGGCTTCCTTTGAACTCTGCACAAGATCAACGGACTCCTTTACCTATCCCAACGTGTGGGATTTGGGGGACATGGAGTGTGGTGAAAAAAAGCAACCCCCTGCATAATCTGCCCCCTACCCCCACCGTAGCCCTCTATCAAAGAGCCAGGGTGGGGAAGGGAGTGGGGGTTGGTGGGTGGACCTGCCATGTCTCCACCCACCCCTCCCACCTGCCTGAGTCAGGCTCTTGTGAGAACTCAGAGAGTGGTCGCCTGACAGGGGTCTCATGTACCTTCCAGGTCACTTGGATGCTCTGTGAGGTCACGGGCTGCAAAGTGACGTCCATGGGGGGCCCATCAGGAGCTGAGGGAAGAAGCAACGGTCACGAGTCAGGTCTGAGAAGAAGAGCGAGCCCCGTGTCCTGCTCCCGGCCCCCTGAGCAGGGGGATGGATGGGGAGCAAGACGCTCAGAGGCCACGAAGAACCCTGAGCGTCGGCATCAGGTCCTCTGACGTCATCACGGGCTCAAATGTCCTCCTCACCCTCCATCATCTGCTGGGAGGGCAGCAAGAGGTGACCGTGAGCTACTGCCCCACACTCTTTGGCAGACTGGCCCAAGGTGGACAAAACCAAGCGTAGGCAAGGCTGTGGGGTGACGGCCAGAGGAGAGCAAATGGGCAGAACCCACGGGGAAACGTTGTGGTGTCTCTTGGTGAAGGTGGGCGTATGTCCATTGGGGGAGGGCTGTGCATTGCTCCCTGGTTGTGCTCGCAGAGACCCGTGTGCCCAGGCACTGGTGCGCAGACACCGGATGCTCATCACAGGGTGTCTGTAACAGCCCAACTGGGCGCAGCCTCAGTGCCCATCTTCAGGTCACACAGAACCGTAGTCCACCCTTACAGTGCAGCACCCAGGAAGTACAAACACACCGTCCCGTTGCACCAGCAGCATAGTGTTGACTGAGCAAGCGTGACTCCGAAGGTGCTGTGGAGCACAGAGCTCCGTAAAGCAGCCCTGGGGTAACAGTGCAGCTCCCGATCAAGTGAGCTCCCTTGTGACCCATTTTGGGTTTGTTCCAGTTTTTAATAGTTTCTCCTTTCTTTCTGATTGAGGTTTTCTTCTGTCATTTTTTGATTTTGTTTTGTATGTCTTTCTGTATATGACATCTAGGATAGGTAAATCTTCAGAGAATAGTTGCATTCATAATTACCCGGGGACATGGAGGAGAGGTGGGGGATAGTGGGGACTGCAGCAACAGCTACAAGAGAGAAGACGACATTCTTACATTGGCTGTGTGATGACTGCACCGTGCGTGGTACTATGACTGGACTACTGAAGTGTGTTATATGCGAATCATATTCCAATTAAAAGCATTGTCACTAAGTAACTAATTACAGAAGCACTCAAATATGTGGCTTTCTATATATGCTATATAGAGGAGCCCTGGCGGCTTAGTGGGGTATGAATTGGTTTGCTAAACACAAGATCAGCAGTTCAAAACCACCAGCTGCTCCTCAGTAGAAAGGTGAGGCTGGGAAACCTCAGGGGAAGTGCACCCTGTCCTCTAGGGTCACTCTGGGTTGGAATTTACTCCAGGGTCGGTTTGTTTGTTATTTTTTTGGTTTGGATCTGTTATACCACACACACACACACACACACACACACACACAAAGGAAAGCAAGAGAAATCTTTTAAAAAATTTCGGGTGAACTCTGGGACAAAGAGCACAGGACATCATCTGGGGACGAGTCCGCCATTCTTCTCGGTTCTACTTCATGGATCCCTTCTGGTCAGGCTGGAGCCGGGGGCTTAAGCACCACGGACAGCTCTTCAGAACCCAGCCTCTAGACCGGTCTGGACAAGGAGCTGCGCCAAACACTGCAGTCACCCACAGGCAGGAACAGACAGGCCTTGGGAACGCTCTGCCCATCTTCTTGCTATGAGTCCCTTGGCCAAAGCAGGTGTGATGTGAGCCCTGGATAGACCCCTCCCAGGGGCAGAGAGTTGGGGTGGGGGGTGGGAGGCAGGGGTGGCGCTCACCGGCTTCCTCCGTGCTGACGGTGAGCTCCTTGCTGGGTTCGCTGCGACCAATTTTGTTGAAGGAATACATGCGGATGCTGTACACGGATGCGGGGTGCAAGTCCACGATGTTGGCCTGGTTGATGGTAGGAGAGATGTTGCGTGTGGATTGCTTGAAGTCCCAGGAATCTACAAAGAAGGTACCCAGCTGAAACCAGTCAGACCATTTCTGGAGCATCTCTGGGGATGCTCAGAGGCGGTCCAGCTCCCGCAGACCTCAGAGAGATGGCAGCTCACCGTCTGCAGAGAAGGCCAGAGGGGACTGGTCCATGAAGCCCAAGCTTGCCAGACCAACAGGCACCCTGAGCAGGGGAGAGCAGATACACCGGGTGGACAGAGAAACGCCCAGCCCACTCGGCCACCTACACTCTGGATGGGGGCCAGACAAGCAGCTTCCCAAGTCCCTCCTAAGACCACCATTCACTTGGCTCATTTTTGAGGGTCTGATGCCTGTCCTGTCATGGGAATTCGCTCCAGGTGTGAGAGCCCCATCTACCCAGGGCTCCCTGGGAGGAGGAAGCTGCTTGCGGGCTCCTGAGTTTTCACTCTTCAGGCAATTTGTAAAGTGGTGGTCTTGAGTGTTGACCACGGGGGATGGGGGTGGTGCAGACCAAGTGCCTGAATCCCCAGCCTAACTCCCCACCCCCCTTTCCTTCACCCTCAGGAGGAGGGTCTGAGTGTTTGGGGTCAGGGCCATGATGACATTGGCATGCTCATGATTGATCTAGAGACCCTGGCAGCCCACTCCAGAGAATGGCGAGCAAAGCTGTGGAACGGGAAAAGTATCAGGTAATGCCCCGCCAGGAGACCGTGGCGGCAAACACCTCGATTCCCGCAGGAAACCCGGGGACTCAGTGGGTCCCAGAGGAGAGACAGCAGTGCCTCTGCCGGGACCCGGCACAGCGAGCACTCATCACCAGTCCCGATGATTGACGGTTTGCTTTTCGGTACAGAAAAAGGCACATGACAGGAAAGACGCTGACAGTGGGACAAGAACGTGTCCAGGGCGGGTCCTGGTGCCACCGTTCGGCCTGATTGTCCACGCCTTCTAAGTCCACGGCAGAGTACCTTGGAAACGTCTCCGGAGAAAGGATCGACTTGCATTCTCTACAGTTTAGTTTCCGAGTTCCGAAAGGAGGTTAACACATTCTAGAAAGGTTCTTCCCCCTCTAGAAAGATAGCAATGAAGATTTTAAAAGTGGATTCTGGATTAGTCAGAGGAACCGGCCCGCCCCATTCTCCCAGCCTGACAGGTTCTGGTTAGCGGGGCCTCCGTGGTTTTGAAAGCACGCACTTTAACCACTGGCACCCAGGCTCGGCGTCTGTGCAGGCACTGGCCCAGCGCTCCATCTGCAGGTTGCTTGTAATCCTGTGGTTTCATGAGCCAAAATCGCAAAATGGCAGGCTGTGGATCTCACACGCACATCATTTTCCCCTTGTCTTTTAAAACACTCAGCCACCCGGAGCGTCACTCTGTGCCTGACAGGTGAGACCAGAATTGCAAATTTGCGGGCTCCTTCCTCGGGTTGGGACAGAATGGGCCTAGCCACGCAGAGGCAGGTGTTCATGTCTCTCAGTGGCATTGTGGGAGCTGGTGCCAGCTCAGACATCATATTTGATTTGCCCATGTTTATAGGAGCAGGAGGGGGAGGCTCACGAGCCAGTACATTCAATTTTGATGAGTACAGGCTGCGGGAAGACTCCCAGGCAATGCGACGTGTCTGAAAGCAGAGGGGTGAGAGAAAAGAAGGCCAGGGCTGCACTGGGCCCAGGGACATGAAGACATGTGCCCTTGTGCCACCAAATCCAACGGTGGTTTGTATGGGCAGAATTGTCCCCCCACCCCCACCCCACCCCACCCCAAACAGACCAGGGATCTCTGGTGGTGTAGTGGTTACATGGCAGGTCAGCAGTTTGAAACCACCAGCCACTCTGGCATAAAGTTGAGGCTTTGCACTCCCATGAAGAGTGACAGTGTCAGAAACCCACAGGGCAGTTCTACCCTGTCCTATAGGCTGCCATGAATTGGGACTGATTCAATGGCAGTACGTTATGAAAAAAGAAAAAAAATTTTATCGGCGACCTATGTCACAAAATCCAATGGGCGTTTGTTATGGATGGAATGTGTTCCCTTCCCAAACAAACGGAAAAACCCAAACCAGTTTCCACGGAGTTGATTCTGACTCTGAGCGCCTCCACGCAGGTCAGCATAGAACTGCCTCCATGGATTTCTGACGCTGTGACTCTTTACGGGAGTAGAAAGCCTCATCTTTTAAAAAATCATTTTACTGGGGTCTCTTACAGCTCTTATCACAATCCATACATATATCCATTGTGTCAAGTACATTTATACATATGTTGCCATCATCATTTGCAAAACATTTTCATTCTACTGAGCCCTTGGTATCAGTTCATTTCCCCCCTCCTCCACCCCTCCCTCCCTCCTGAACTCTTGATAATTTATAAAACATTTTTTTTTTCATGTCTTGTACTGGCCACTGTCTCCCTTCACCCACTTTTCTGTTTTCTATCCCCCTGGGAGAGGGTTATATATTGATCAATGTGATCAGTTCCCCCTTTCTCCTTCCACCTTCCCCTTACCCTCCTAGTATTGCTACTCTCACAATTTGTCCTGAGGGGTTTATCTGTCCTGGATCCCCTATGTTTTGAACTCTTATCTGTACCTGTGTACATGATCTGGTCTAGCTGGGTTTGTAAGGTAGAACTGGGGTCATGATAATGGGATGGAGGAAGCATTAAAGAACTAGAGGAAAGTTGTATGTTTCATCGGTGCTATACTGCACCCTGACTGTCTCGTCTCTTCCTTGTGACTCTTCTGTAAGGGGATGTTGAATTGTCTACTACAGATGGGCTTTGGGTCTCCACTCTTCCCTCCCTCTCATTCACATTGATATGATTTTTTGTTCTGGGTCTTTGATGCCCGATAACTGATCCCATCGACACCTCGTGATCACACAGGCTGGTGCACTTCTTTGATGTGGGCTTTGTTGCTTTTCAGCTAGATGGCTGCTTGTTTATCTTCAAGCCTTTAAGACCCCAGATGCTATATCTTTTGATAGCTGAGCACCATCAGCTTTCTTTGCCATATTTGCTTATGCACCCATTTTGTCTTCAAAGATTGTGTTGGGAAGGTGAACATCATGGAATGCTGGATTATTAGAACAAAGTGTTCTTGCATTGAGGGAGTACTTGCATAGAGGCCCAATGTCTGTCTGCACCTTAATACTTAACATATAAATATATGTACTTAAAATATGTACTTAGATCTATTTCCCTATCTTTATATATAAATATATTTACATATCTGTATTTAGATCTCTATAAATGTCTGTTGTCTCCTAGCTCTTTCCTCTATTAGCTTTTACTTTTCTCTTGTCCCACTCTCATATTTGGCCTTCATTTGGGTCTCAGTAATTCCTCTCAGCTACATTGCCCTTGATCAAGCCCTAGCAGACATCCTATGCCCTCCTCACCATCATTTAGATCACTTGTTGTTCCCTTGTAGAAAACCTCATCTTATTCCCGGGGAGCAGCTGGCATTTTTGAACTGCTGACCTTGCAGTTGGCAGCCCGATGTGTAACCACTACACCATCAGGGCTCCCCGGGGGAGTCTAACTGCCAATTTTTTTTTTTTGCTGGCAGCAAGCATGTCAACCACTGTGTCACCAAGGGACTCTGCCCTGCAAACACGAGTTGGATTACTAGTCTTTGTATCTGTGGACGCGACACAGTTTGGAAATAGGGTTTTCTTTTGGTCTGGTCATGAAGTCATACCGGTGTAGGGCGAATCCTGAGCACCATCACTTCTGAGTGATAAAGAGAGTAGAACAGATACAGAGATCGATGGGGCTAGACAGCCACCAGGTGAGGATCTTACAAGACAAGGAACCGAGGGAGCTGGTGTGACCGACAAGGAAGGAATCAACATGGCGGAGACCCCGACTTCCACAAGGAACACCCAGAGCTGTAGAAAATGAAGCTCTGTTCTCGAGAACCACCCCTGTCTGGAATTTGTGCTACAGCACGCTAGGGAGTGAAGATCACACTGTTTAGCTCCCTTTTCTCGCCTCTCTGCTCCTACAATGCACCTCCCTTGTCTTCCCGGATACAACTCCCTTCATTCTTTCTCTCAGTCCTTGCTCAATGTCTCCTCTGCAGGCATGTCCTCCCGCACCCAGCCATTGATGACTGAGTCCCCCAAGGCTCCAGCTTCTGCTGTCCCATGTACTTTCTCCATCCATGGCTCCTGACTCCATCTCCACCAAGATGCCTCACTGATGGGGACCCAGCTTGCAGCTCTCCTGTGAACTCCTGGTCTTTAAAGCCAACTGCTGACTTGATGGCTCCTCTTGGATGTTTCAAAGATACCTCAAGCTCAGCATGTCCTAAGTAAAACTCCTGACCTGACACTCCACAAGCCCGCCTCCCCCCCGGATTTCCCGTCTCTGGAAGTGGCGCCACTGTGCTAAAAAACATAGGTGTTATTCTTGACCCTCCCCACTCTCTCCTTCCCTACCAAGTCCTGTAGACAGTATGACCCAAAGACCCTTTGAGTGTCTCCGCTTCAATCCCTTTCCTGCTGTTCTTTCCGCTAAGCCAGTGCCCACCTACCTCCACCCACCACGGGACCAGGGAAATGACCCAACAAGTCTCCCAGCAGCCACTGTGTGCTCTGTCAGTGCTCCCTCCACACTGCAGCCACCACTCATATTACAAATCTGATCAAGCCCACCGCCCCCAGGCCAATCACTGAGCAACATCTCCACCCATAAGGTCCTTCAGTAGCTGTCTTGGTCTCCTGGAGCTGCTGTAACGGAAACCACCCCCCTGGCTGGCTTTAAGAACAGAAATGGATTTTCTCACAGCTTTGGAGTCTGAAAGTCTACATGCAGGTGCTAAGACAGTGGTTCTCAACCTTCCTAATGCCGCAACCCTTTAATACAGTTCCTCATGTTGTAGTGACCCCCCGAACTATAAAATAATTTTTGTTGCTACTTCATAACTGTAATTTTGTTACTGTTATGAATTGTCATGTAAATATCTGATATGCAGGATGTATTTCATTGTTATAAATTGAACATAATTAAAGCCTAGTGACTAATCACAAAAACAATATGTAATTATATATTGTGAAATATTTCTAATTACAAATAAATGAAAAATTGTCTTGAAGCATGGTGTAGCATGGGTAACAGTCTTCACACTGGCTACTCATATTGGCATGTGGGCGGTGTCTCGGTTCTTATGAC